AGTGTCAGAAGCCCCCGAGGATGATCCTGATCAGTATCTGAACTCCTCCATGTTGGACTCAGTGATTCTCAAGTAGTCACAGGAGAGGAAGCAACACATAACATCATGGCTATAGCTGTTGAGAGTCTGTTGAATGAAGGAGCATATCTCTTGTCTGAGTACCAGGGGGAAGAAATTCCATCCCTAGACGATGTAAGAACCACAGCACTCCTCGAGTCCTTATCTCATGAGATATTCTCAGAAAAACCTTCTAATGAACCTGATTCTCTTCCATGTAAACTCGCTCCTGCACCTCCTGATCATTCCAAGCTTGTAGAGTCTTCCTCCAAATCACCCACTCTCAGGTCTCAGCAGCAAGAGAGCTTTGAATCCACATTGCAGAAAAGTAAGAGGAGTGTCAAGTCAAGGAAAAAGAGGAAAATGAATCCAAAGGAAATTGCCACTAATAAGAGTGTGTCTGTAAACCAGTTAGACAAAGAAGCTCCCAAGGAACCTAGTTCCTTAGTACAACACTCTATGAAAGTCCAAAAGTCTAGGGAGAAGGCATCCGATGAAACTATTGAGGAACAGAAAGGGTCATCCGTGAAGTACAGCGGCAAATCTAAAAGAAAATGATACTGAGGGGTTAAGAAGCTGGAAAGGAAAATTTGTTGAAGGATCTAGAAAACGAAAACGGGAAACCGTTAGATAACCTGGTGCTCTAAGTACAATGTCCAGTGATAAAGGTCTTTGGCAACAGAGACTAAGAACTCAAAAAGTCCTGTGGGGTCGTACATTTAACCCAGCAATTTCTGAGATGGCAGGTATGAGGCAAATTCTGGAGATCGTTGAGTTTCAGCAATCAGAGCACTTGTTTCAGGAAAGCATGCCTCTGGTGTACAAAGATGCGCTGCAGAGCTTCTACGCATCTCTCTTCACTGTTGAGGGGGATCACATTTGTGCGCTAGTAAATGGAGTAGACATTGTACTCGATGCGTCAGCATTAGGAAAGATTCTCAGAATCACATGTGAAGGATGTCCTCAGTCAAAGGTGTTTGTGGTGTCAACCTTAGGAGAGCAATCATGAAAGAGCAAGCTATTCAGCAGGGGGAACAGGTGCATAAGAAGGTATTACTTCCTGAATATCAGCTTCTCTTTGAATTGGTCAATATGGTACTCTTACCTCGTTCTGAGAGGCGGTCTATTGCTACAAAGTCGGATATGGTCTTAATGGAATCGCTTGATGAGTTTGTCCCAATCAATCTGCCAGCAATCATGATAGACCACATGCAAAAGGTGGCAAACTTTAAAGGTGGAAATCATGGATTACCATATGGCTTTTTCCTCACTCAGTATTCAGATTCTACAAGGTCCCATTGGGGAATCCCAGAGTAGGTACATGCAAGCAGACCTTCTCTAAGACCACTCTAGAAGAATGTGAATGTGTAGAAAGAGTCGGTAGAAGTGGAAGCATCTCGACCATTTCTCAGCTGATCAACGCTCAAAATGTAGCTTCTGAGGAGATCAGAAGGCTGAGGGCTAGAAATGCCATACTGGAAACTCAACTCAGTCAAACAGCTAAAGGACCTGATTCTGTCAATGAGGAAGTTGCACGACTGACAAAGGAAAATGATAGACTTCAGGCTCAATTACTTGAAGAACAACTGTCTGCAAATGCTAGACTGGACCTGGTTCTCAAAACCATTGCTGTCTCTTCCTCCAAGCCTCCTTCCTCTAGTGTCCCCTAGGATCCCCTTAGTGTCCAGCTTTTTTTGCTCCAAAATCCTGTGGCTGCTGTTTTACTTTTGCTTACTTGTTTTTGTGATGGCATGTTGAACTTAACTATTACTGCTCCTGACTTGCTCAGTCCGTGGTAAACATTAATAAAATAGCTCCCCTTCATTGCATGTACAATACTGTGTTCCTCTGGCTTCTCTTTTCTGTCATGTTGTGTGCACATATGTGGCATGAGCAAGCTGTGTTAGACTTTTTTATGCTTATTACCTACTTGTGCTCTTTATTTTGCTACTTACCTGTTCTTTTTAATGATGCCAAAAGGGGGAAAAGAAGTGTGTAGGTGAAAGGTGAGGGGTAATATGCTTTGTGTGTATAAGTGAGGGAGAATCAAGTCTGAGGTTAAGGGGGAACTATCAACACAAAGGAGGGAAAGGAGGGAGATCTGAGATTAAGGGGGAACTTAGTGTAGTTCTGGCATCTCATCTGGTTATTTCTGCTCTAAACAAATACTTTCCATGTCTAAGTTTGTCATCATCAAAAAGGGGGAAATTAATGGGTTTTTAATGTCTTGGCCTTATGCGTCTTATGTTTTGATGATTTAACAAACTTGTCGTGAAGAACCAGATAGAGAACCTGGCAACCTGGCCCACAGGGTATACACTTCATGTGACTTTGTTGAAGTATGAAAATCAGCAAATGGATGAACAACCCCAGGGAGGAACACAACAGGGACCTAGTAACCTGGTCCTTTAGGGTTCTCCGACACAAGCACTAGTCAATGACTGTACGCAATCAATATAAAGAGAAACACAACAGGGACCTGTTCCCTTAGGGTTCTCTGACAGAAGTACAAGTCAAATACACAGCTGGAACGTAGCAGAAGAAAGTGACCATCTAGCAGCTATCACAGAAGAGGAACACAACTAGGACCTGGTCTGTTTGTGTGTCCTGACAAGAAGTACAAAGTCCATTATCTAGCTGGAACGCAACCGCCCAGAAGTGGCTGTGCAGACTGTACATCAGTCACTTCTCATTGGGAAGAAGCGTACACGAAGAGTTGACATCACTATCCATTGTGCTATCTTTGTGATAAAACAACCTGGTGCAAGACATACCATTCTTTGTGCATTCAGTGATATTCTCTCAAGCATAACAACGTTCATCCTGCATTGAAGTCACTGGTGTGTCAAGAACAAGAAGACAACTCCACTAAGGATCAATTTCTTAATGAATTTATGTACATCCGCAGTTGAGTTGTAATCTTGTTGTTTGCTCTTCATTGTATTTCCTAGTTTGCTTTCTTAGAAGCGTTTTCTTAGGAACAAACCAAAATTCGTAAACTTCTGAGTTTATGTTGTGACTAGGGATAGTCATAAGTTTAAAGCCTTTGTAACTAGGATAGTTATAGAGTGGCTTGTGGTGGTTGCATCACAAGTTAGTTTGAAGTCTTTGCAATAGGGTTTTTGCAAAGTGGCTTGTGGTGGTTGCATCGCAAGTTAGTTTGAAGTCTTTGCAGTAGGGTTTTTGCAAAGTGGCTTGTAATAGGCAGATTGCAAGTTAGTGGAGTTAAAAGCCTACAAGAGTAGGTCGTGGTTTTTTGATCCCCTTGTGTGGGATTTTTCCACGTAGAAAATCTCTTGCCTTCTTTACTTTCAGTCTTTACTACATTCTAGGCATCATCTCATAGAGGACCAGGTACTCTATAGTTTGGTGAACTCATATAAGTTAACAATCAATAACCATGTAGTTGAACAAACAGAGAGAATACTATGGCAAATCTATATTAACATAACGAGAAAATCATGCTTCAACAGGTTCCATCAAAACCCTAGATTATGAGTTTAGCTACTCATACTCATAGTACAAATATCCAAAGTAATTTGCATAATTAAATTACAGAGTAAGGATAAAGACATGTAGAAATCGATGTATCCAACTCCCAAGTAGTGTTCCACGAGCTATTCTTGCCTCTGGTTGCAAAAGTCCTTCATAGTGGCATTTTTGGGTCTATTTATATGTTTGGGACAACCCCTAAACGTGTACGTCAACTTCTAGTCAAGCCAGGAAACAATTAAAACCTTCAAAACTCGGAATGGGCCTGGCCTTAGGCCTGGCGTCGCCTGGATAACGCCAGCCTAGGCTTGGCTTTAAGCTGGCTTCACCTGGATAACGCCAGCCTAAGCCTGGCTTTAAGTTGGCTTCGCCTGGATAACGCCAGCCTAGGCCTGGCTTTAAGCTGGCTTCGCCTGGATAACGCCTGGCTAGGCCTGGCTTTAAGCTGGCCTCGCCAGGCTAAAGCCTGGTCGAGCTGGCTTTCGCCCGGCTTCTCCTTTTTATCGTTCTCGAGCGCACTTTCGACGTTTAAGCATCCCTTTAGCTCTACTTTCATTTCCGATGCACCTACACTTAAAATAGCCTCCATTACGCTCAAACAAAGTATATTTTAACATTAAAGCATGTAAAACGCAAAGCATATAATGTGCAAAAACCATGAATTATAGCCACACATAAGAAAATAACCAAAATTGAAAGAACAAGTGCTGCAGGAAAACAAATAGGGAAACAAACACTGTCCAAATTGCAATAAACAAAACAAAACTGTCAAACACTGTCAAAACCAAACAAAACACTACTATGCAAACTAAACCAAAACACTGTCCAGATTTGCAAAACACTGCTGTAAAAAACACTGTCCAACACTGTCTAGATTTGCAAAAAAACACTGTCCAGATTTGCAAAATACTACTGTAAACAATAGTGTCCAACACTGTCCAGCAAATTAAACAAACACTGTCTATATTTGCAAAAAAAAAACACTGTCAAAACAGCTGCAACAAAAACAGCACTGCTGTGCAAACTAAATTGCTGTAAAATCTCAGTACTGCTGTAATATTAATTGGACTGCTGCTACAAAATAACACTGTCCGGCCATCAAAATATGTTTACTAAGCAACTACTAAATCAAACAGCACTGCTGTAATATTACAGAACAAACCAAATCATCAAAACAAAAGGGTTCTGTGAGTTCCCAGATTTACAACTACATACAATAACCAAGATTCCTAGATTTGTGAGTTTTCATTGAGTTTCCTGCACTTCAACTTCCCGACTTTCTTTTGTCTTGCCACTTCCAATTGATTTCTAGTCACAGCTTCTTTGCCTTTTCAAGTGATCTTAGTAGGTGAGTAAGGAAGATAAGTGGGATAACTGACACCAGTATGATCTCCTCTGAAAGAGATGACTCTTGTTCCTTCTGAGGTCAATTGTTGCTGCCTCATCAGTAGTCATGATTGATCTTCAGAAATAATCTTAGGCATTAAAGCAGGGTCACTTTCATGCTCACTGGTTCCATCATCAAAGGGTTCTGTTTGGTGTCTTGGTACTCTTGGTGTAGGCATGAACACAAATTCACTTTCATGTTCACCTTCTTGTGTTGGTTGAGTTGGTTGAGGGGCTGAACAACTAACATCCTCAACATTTCCTTCAGCACCAACCTATTAAAATGAAAAACTTTCTATTAAATAACTGCAATATGCTATAAGAAGAAAGATAAGTTAAGAAGCAAGTACCTTGCATGTCCTTGAATTGTGGTCCAGTTCACCACAAATGTTGCATGTAATTCTAGTTCCCCTTCTTGATGCAGCCCAATCTCCTTGTCTCTTGTTAGCCTCATCTTTCTCCCTATTTCTTTTGACTTTTGGCCTTCCAACAGTTTTGGCAAGTGGAGGAGGGTCCATAGCATGTTCTGGTAATACTTTCCAGAACTTTTCACCTCTAACAGGCATCAACTTGGCCCTATATGTCATCAGGTAAGCTTGCTTGCTGTGCCACCAACTAATTTCAGTCATTAGATCCTCTCTCTCGTATTTTAGTGCCCTGATGGTATGAGGGCATGGGATGGCAGTCAACTGCCAGGATCTACAAGTGCATTTTTTCTCCACTAGGTTCACTGTATGTCTATTACCACCCTCAGAAACCTCATAGCTAGTTTCACCATTGAAATGAACAGTACATAAGTTGGCTACGTTCAAATAAGCATCATACATCTTCATGCAGTTAGGACTAAACTCACCTCCCCATGTTCTAGCTTCTTCTTCTTTCTCCCTTAACCTGTTCCTGACCTTGATTCTAATATCCTCTAGCATCTTCAGGATAGTCTTGCCTCTTGCTTCTAAGATCCAAGAGTTGAAGGACTCTGTAAAATTATTGTCCACCATCTAATTTTTGCTCAATGTATCAAAGTAGGACCTACACCAATTCTGTGGTGGATACCTAAGCAACTCCTTGGCAACATCAACAGACAATTTACCAAGACTCTTTAGTTGATCTTTAAAGTCCTCCTCATAAGTGCTCCAAGCAGACCACCATAGGTATTTCTTCATCTCTCCTAAAATTCTGACCCTCTTACTCCAGTTGGCTTCAATATGCCTCACACAAAACCTATGATTTGAGAGAGGGAGGACAGTTCTTACTGCTTCCAACAGACCCTACACGTGTAAATTTAAACAGAATTAACTATATAATAACTGGAAATAGTCAGTTAAGCAAAATCATAAGTTGTACCTTTTGCATATCAGACATAAAGGTAATATTGGTTCCATCTTTCTGATTCAATGAGTGTTTCAGCAGCTCCAGAAACCATGTCCATGTCAAGGTGTTTTCCTTGTCAACTACAGCCCAAGCTAAGGGATAGAAATGATTCCGACAATCTTGTGCAACAACCACCAATAATTGCCCCTTGCAATGACCCTTTAAGAAAGTCTCATCTAGTCCAATGAATGGTCTCAACCCTTCTTTAAACCCCAACTTCATTGCATTGAAGCATATGTACATTCTAAGAAATCTTCTTTTACCTTCAGCCATGGCATCTTTTGATAAATTGATAACCACATCACTACCAGGATTGCTCTTCCTAATCTCATTTGCATATGCTTCTAATATGTTATAGTCATCTAAAAAGCTTCCTTGCGATTGTTGAAGTGCCATCCTCTTAGCCCTTTTCAATGTGGAGTTATGTACATTCAATGAAAATTGATTTTTCAAATCCTGTTTCATATCCTTTATCTTGTACTTGGGGTTATTCTGCACCTTACTCCTGAAATATTCAGCTAAAGTTTTTGTTTTGGCTCTAGGATTCTCAAATGCATCTTCATAGTTGTTTCTTGTCTTCAATGTTTTAATCTTAAAGCCAGGATCCTTCTTATCTTTAGAGATGAGGCATACAAAAGGGCAGCCTACTACACATCTATACCTTACTCTTATTTTATCACTTTTTCTAAGCTTCAAAGGTTTGGAATTTGCAATAGCATAGAAGTTCATGACTTTTTTGGCCTCTTCCAAGTCCTTAAATGTCATAGACTTATCAAGCTCTTTGTAGTGACTAAGCTTATCATTAACTTCTTTACCCTTTTGCATCCTAAGTTACTCTAATTCTTCAAAATCATATTCACTAGCATCTGAACCATAATCTGAACTTTTATCACTATCTGATTCACAATTAGTACCTAATTCACACTGATATTGACCTGAAATTGGCTCTTCGTGGTCCCCCATATTGAAATATCTATAATATATACACAGAAGAAAACATAGAGGGACCACATGAATAATTTAACAACTTTGATAATAAAATATTGAACATACAATAAATTACTGCTTATAATATAGCGGAAAGAATAAACACACACTTTAAGAGATAAAGCACATGGTCTATAACATGTTTTGTCGATTTCAACAGTGGAAAGCAAAAAAAATAGTCATTAAGAAGAAATGCACATGGTTTTGTCGAACCCAACCGTACCACACTATGATAAAATATGTGAAAAGGACACTTGCAGCCAAAGACAATATACACCTAGGGTACAAATTGACACCACATAAGGAAACAACAAAGATAACAAACAAAAAGAGTACCAGACCCACATGCAAACACTATACACTAGAAGACAAGTCAGAAATACCAGAACATGACAAAACCCTAGAAAATTACAAAAAAATAATTGAAGTTCGAGACAAAGACCCAATAAATAGAAGGGAAAATTACCTGAATATCTTCAGATGATCTTCAATTTGTGTTGTTAAACCTTGCTCGATCTTATCATCACCTCAACTCTCAAATTGCCATGGAAGAACAGTCTAGGAAGAAATTGGGTTTTTGTTTGGAAACGGGGTTACGGCCTTTGTTTGATCTTTGTTTGGAAATGGGATTCAGAGCGGGTTTATGAGGCTGCCACGCTTATGTGGCTGCCATGTCACAGCTATGTGGATGCCATGTAAGATTAAAATGGCTTGGGTGGAGGGCCGTTCGGTTGAAGGGCATTAGTGTCCCATTGTGCTAACGCGGAGGATATTTTTGGCCCAGTTTACTAACGGAGGACAAAAGTGAGCTATATACCATAGTTTAGGGATATTATTGGACCTTTTACGTATATAGAAACCTGGAGAAATTTAGAGATAGATATGTGGTCACTGTTTATGAAAGATAACCAAACACGCCAATCCATTTGTATGCAAATCGATTACTTTAATGTTTGCCAGTTTCCTTGACAAAAACCAACCAATTCCCATACCCCCACCACTTCTGCCTTATTTTCCCCAGGTAATATGTTTGTCAAAATGCACGCAATTATAGTTGTTAGGGACGCACATAGGTCGGGTTGGTTCGAATTTTTCTATTATCAAATCAAACCAATTGTCTCAGATTTTTAAATTTTTAAATTTGATGATGACTTCTTTTTGAGCTCTGTGTTTATGCGAACTTCTGATACAGTAAAAAGGATTGGTGAAAAGTAAGCCGATTAATGATGAAGTGGCATCACTTGCTGATGTGGTGTATGTGGAGGATGAGGAGAATGAAGTGGAAAAATCTCCACTTGTGAGAAAGAACTCAAATAAGAGAAAAATAGAGAAAAGAAAGTCAGCTGAGAAAGATGCAACAAATGATAAGGGTGAACTGATTGAGAAAGAGAAGATGGAGACCTGACCGCTCAGGAAAAGAAAGGGTAGTGTGAGTGAGGAGCCTGGTTCCTTACAGAAGCAAAAGGTTGAGTTACCAGAGTTGGAGAGGAAGGAGAATCTGAAGTCTCAAAAAGTGTTGTTAGGCAGAATGTTTGACTATGATATTGCTGAAAAATGGAGGAACTTCTTGACATTGTTGAGTTTCAAAAATAGTATCACCTCTTTATTCCTCCAAGTCCCAACGTTTATGAATAGAAGTAAACTTCTATGTTGTATGTGATACTCTGATGCTATATGTGCATGGGACCGAGTTTGTTATTGATGAGGAGAAGTTGGGAAGATTCTTGGTGATCTGATTGATGGTTCAGCCTGCTCAGATAGGTAGAGAACTAGGTCCCGTGGACCCTTGGCAGAATAGAATGCTGAGTTGAAGGGTGAGAATGAAAGATTATGGAAATAGGTGGAGTACCTGAGAGAGTAGATGATCATTGATCAAAGGATTGTAAATGAACGAAAGGACAAGCTCTTCAAGGCCTTAGCCCCTTACTTTTCTTCCTGCCCAGTGATCCATGTCTTTCACTCATTCCAAATTCCCTCGAATTCCTATCTTCTTTTAATTCCTATGTTTGATACATTGGTACTTTAGTTGTTTAAATTGTCATATTCTATATTGATTGAAACTGCTGTGTTTTTGTTATAATTACTCTACTATGGGCAATATAGGGATCAATTCCCCTAGTCGTCGTACAGTCAACTCTACAGTTATAAAAGTTATTGCACTGTACAGTCTGGCTGCTACGGCAGCACAACTGTATCTTGCTAAGGCCAAATTAAAGACACTTTATTGCATCATCTTTGATGACCTCACACACACATATTATCAACATGAGTCAACGGATTCATTTCCCAACACTTGCAAATCCAAAAATCATATTCTCTCAAGTGCTAGCCACCACCTCTCTCAAGAACAAAGCTGCTGCAACCTCAAGGACCAGATCCAAAGATTGAAGATATCTTAAGTCCTTAGGTTTGTTGAGTCTTTGTTATTTTGTTCTTCATTTGTAATTCTACATTGCTTTCAAGAAGTGACTTTGTAGGATAGATTTAAACCATTGTTTGGTTTAGTTTCTTGACTAGAGTTAGTTAAGGTTTGTTGCTTTGTAATGAAGTTATTGCAAAGGGCTTACAATAAAGTTGTTGTAAGGGGTGATGGATTAAGAGTTTAATTCCTAGATTGCAATAGGCTGTAATCTGCAGTTTGCTTGGTTTAGTGGAGCTGAAATACTACTAGGGCAGGTCGTGGTTTTTAATCCCTTGAGCAAGGAGTTTTTCACGTAAATATTGCATGTTCTGTATTTACTGCGGGAACAGATAGAGAACCTGGTTCCCTATACTGTTTGGTTTTACAGTCTGTTGCTTACTGTGAGAACTGATACATTTTGGTGGGCCCTTAGTTTCTATAAATATTGGATTAACTTTATGAAATATATACAAAAAATAACTCGTTTGCCGGAAAAACCACGAGTCACGTGCACCGTACAAAGGGCCTAAATCCGCCCCTGATAATAGAGGTTCTTGGCTTAAATTGGATCCCAAGAAGATGAAATCGTCTGAATTCCAATTAACTGTAGCTTCAGAGTATCATTATCACATTGCTGCAATTCAATATCCAGTTTCTGGAATTCTTTCGCGCGAATCCAACTAAATGTCTTATATACAGGTAAAACATTCGCTGCTTGATCACTCTTGATCGCCATTCAAATGTTTATGTTGGCTCAAGATCTCAAACATTCATTTAAGTATATCAAGTAACCAATAGAAGTATACCATATCATTTTTCAATGTATCTATACTACCACTTGAGATATTATTCTATTTTACATGAGTTCGAAGCTAAACAATTGATAATGCGTTCTCCCTATCTATAGAGTGTGCGAAGAGACAATTGAACAACTTTTCCCAGATTTTATGCGCTTCTGAAGTCTAGAGATGTATAATATTTTCATAGTAATTCAAAGAGGTAAACGTGAAGTTAATTAAAAAGTTCACAAAGGTTGCTGAGCTATCCATCTTTTAAACATATGAAAGCTCTCTTCACGTTTATACTCAGGAGCTGTGTGCCCTCCTCCCTAATTGGAAAAAAAACAAGAAGGGAAAAGTAAACATCCGAGAACTGTGAGAATGTGAGCAAAGACAATTTTTCTATTGAGTTTGAGATTGAAGATATCAATAAAAAATATAGAGTACAAAATTCTTACCT